AGGAGGAGGAGGAAGAGGAGGAGGAGGAGGAGGAAGAAGGAAGAAGGAAGAAGGAAGAAGGAAGAAGGAAGAAGGAAGAAGGAAGAAGGAGAAGGAGAAGAAGAAGAAGAAGAAAAACCACCATGCAGACCGGTGGGATCATTCTATGCACATAGTTCCTTATTCGGCTTTTAAACTCAATGTATGTTGGAGACGTTTCCATAAATAAAAAGGTGCCTCATTCTTTTGAATGGCTGCTTAGTATTCCATTGAATGAAGATTCTATAATCTATGTAGCCAGTCTTCTACTGTGAACATTTGGATTGCTTATGGTTTTTATGACTACGAATAAGGCTGTAATGAATATCCTTGTAAATATGCCTTCGATATGTCTTAATGCCCAGTGCAAGCATATTCACAGAACAAATTTCTGGTAGTGAAGTTGCTGGGCCAGAGGGTATAACTTTTAAACTTTGGACAAATAGTACCCAACTGTACTACAAAGAGGCTGCACCAACTTTTAATCCTACTAAAAATGTCTTAGTCTCCCTGTTTTCCATATCCTCACTTCCTCAATGTGTATTATGAGATTTTTATAATGTTGCCATTCTGGTAGGTGAAAAATGGTTTCTCGTTTTGAGATTTTATTTATTTGACAGAGAGAACGTGAGAGAGCACAGCAGGGGGAGGAGCAGGGGGGAGGGAGAAGCAGGCTCTCTGCTGAGCAGGGAGCCCGATGCGGGGCTTGATCCCAGGACCCTGGGATCATGACCTGAGCCGAAGGCAGATGCTTAACTGACTGAGCCACCCAGGCACCCCCTGGTTTCTCCTTTTAATGTTAATTCATTAAACCATGAGTGGGGTGGAACCTTTTTCATATACTTAAAAGCTATTTGTCAATACCTGTGTATTCTATATATTTATTTTGTCTGTTGTTCTCAATTGGATTTCGATCTGTTTTTAATTCTTTTGTAAGAACTCCAGGTATTACGAAAACTGTGACTTTTTCATATTTGTTGAAAATAATTTTTTTCCTGATTTGTTTTTGGTCTTCTGACATTATTTCATTTGATTTTGTTTGGGGCCTTGCAGAAATCTTTAATTTTCACAGAGTCAAATGTGTCCATATTTTTGTGTATTGCTTCTGAATTTTCTTAGAATGGCTTTTGGTGGGAAGCTTTGCATGATCTCAACCCTGAAGATGCTAATTTAGAAAAACAACATTTGAGACTTCTGGTTAAAGAGAACAGATTAGACACACATTGTGCTCCATTCCCTCCTAGAATGGAACCCAAAGTTGAAGTTTGATGGAGTAATATATTCACATGGTTCTAAAACCAAAAAAGTGTAAAAAGGCACAGAGCAAAAAAATTTCCCTCATCCATGTCTCCCATTGGCCTGGGTCCCACTGTCTTCCTGTCCATTGTAAGCTTTGTTACTAATTTGTTATGTGTGTGTCTTCAGAATTTCTTTTCAAAGGTTTTATTTATGGGGCGCCTGGGTGGCTTAGTCGTTAAGCGTCTGCCTTCGGCTTAGGTCATGGTCCCAGTGTCCTGGAATCGAGCCCCATACCGGGCTCCCTGCTTGGCGGGAAGCCTGCTTCTCCCTCTCCCGCTCCCCCTGCTTGTGTTCCCTCTCTCGCTGTGTCTCTCTCTGTCAAATAAATAAATAAAATCTTAAAAAAATAAAGATTTTATTTATTTGACACAGAGCAAGAGAGAGCGAGAGAGAGCACAAACAGGGGGAGTGGGAGAGGGAGAAGCAGGCTTCCCGCGGAGCAAGGAGCCCAATGTGGGGCTCAATGTTAACACCCAGGACTTGTCCTGGGACCCTGGGATCATGAGCTGAGCTGAAGGCAGCTGCTTAACCAACTGAGCCACCCAAGTGCCCCAGTCTCCAGAATTTTTCTTTTCTTTTGCTTTTTTATATTTTATTTACTTATTTGACAGAGAGAACACAAGCAGGGGGAGAGCAGAGGGAGAAGGAGACACAGGCTTCCCACCGAGCAGGGAGCCCAATGTGGCACTTGATCCCAGCACCTGGAATCATGACCTGAGCCGAAGGCAGATGCCTAACCGACTGAGCCACCCAGGCGCCCCTTTCCAGAATTTCTTTATGCATATGTAAGCAAACAAGAATTTAAATAAATGGTGTGTTTTTTTTTTAAGTCTAAACCTACAAGGACAAAGAGAATATGAAAAGGATGGCAGCAGGCTAATTTTAGAGGATGGAATGTAGATGAATGCGTCGTAACTGAACCAAGAGACCCAAGTAAGGTGAACTCTAAGCCAGCAGATGAGAAAGCTAATGTCACTTGCTTTACACTTCAGAATCCTCCACGTGCTCAGCAATTTGTGGCACTAGGTACTTTGGTATTTTGTGAATAAAGCTGTGGCTAAAAGGAGTAAGATGAGTTGAAAGTCAGTTCAAGAAGCAAAGAGGTCCCCAGGCCCGCCCCCCCTTCCCCTTGCATCTGTCAAGTGGACTGCCCCTTCCCCACAGTGGCCAAAAAATGGAGCTTTTTCCATTCTTTGGGACAGTAAGAGCGAGGACCAGGCACAGTTGTGAGAAGGATAATATACTGAAGAAAAAAAGAAATTACTTACAGACCCCCTGCCTTCTTCCTTTACATAGATTGTAACCCTAACATCCAGCCTGGAGATTTTCTGAGAACACGACACCCTGGAGAGAAATTCCCTAAAGATCATTTGGAAGTGGCAGCATCTCTGAGAGAAAAAGAAAGCAAAAAATTATCAATATCCCCAGAGATGTAAGACAGGATAGTGTATTTTTTAAAGTGTTTTTATATTTATATGTATTTTTATATGCCATTTTAAATTTAATTTTATTTGCTTAAATTTAATTTTGAAAAATTTTTTATTTAAATTCAATTTAGTTAACATGTAGTGTATTATTAGTTTCAGGGCTAGAACTTAGTGATTCATCAGTTGCATATAACACCCAGGGCTCATTCCATCAAGCGCCCTCCTTAATGTCCATCGCCCCACCCACCTCCCCGCCAGCAACCCTCAGTTTGTTTCCTAGAGTTAAGAGTTTCTTATGGTTTGTCTCCCTCTCTGTTTTTATCATTTTATTTTTCCTTCCCTTCCCTCTGTTCCTCTGTTTTGTTTCTTAAATTCCACATATGGTGGAATTTGTCTTTCTCTGACTGACCTATTTCACTTAGCATGATACCCTCTAGTTCCATCCATGTCATTGGAAATGGCAAGATTTTCTTCTTTTTGACGGCTGAGTAATATTCCAGTGTGTGTGTGTGTGTGTGTGTGTGTGTGTGTGTGTGTGTGTGTCACATCTTCTTTATCCAAAGGATACAAGAATAGTGATCCAAAGGGGCACCTGCACTCCAATGTTTATAGCAGCAACGTCCACAATAGCCAAACTATGGAAAGAGCCCAGATGTCCATTGACAGATGAATGGATTAAATGTTATTTTTTAAAAGGAACTGAGAACAAAAAAAGATCTCAGAAATTTAAATATGATCCCAGGGGAAAAAAAAAACCTCGCTAGAAGAGGTGGAAACTAGAAAGTACAGCAAAAAGATAAGACATGGAAAATAGAAGATATACGAGCAAAAGCAGTTTATTTGGGAGATGATTCAGGAAACACCTATAGGGTGTGGGGAAGTGAAACAAGGAAGCTACTATATCTAGCAAGTTACTATGAATAACTGGAACTTGATTCTTTGGGGAGACTCTGGGAGACCAGTGTGGAAATCATGGCTCAAAGTTATCCCCACTCAGGGCTGAGCGAGCTGAGGTATTTATTCTGCTAACTCTCATTGCTCATTGGTTAAGAGCTGCTCCCTAGGAGGAGGGGGTTAGTTACCCCCAACTCTTCATGAGCAAACCTTTGGTGTCCAGAAGAAGCCCTCAGGCAAAGAGACATTTGTACTGGTAATTTTTTAAAAAGATTTTGTTTGGGGGCACCTAGGTGGCTCAGTCGTTAAGCGTCTGCCTTCGGCTCGGGTCATGGTCCCCGGGGTCCTGGGATCGAGCCCTGCATCGGACCTTCTGCTCGGCGGGAGGCCTGCTTCTCCCTCTCCCACTCCCCCTGCTTGTGTTCCTGCTCTCGCTAACTCTCTCTCTGTCAAATAAATGAATAAAATCTTTTAAAAAAAGATTTTATTTATTTATTTGTTTGACAGAGAGAGAGAGAGTACAAGTCGGGGAGCAGCAGGTAGAGGGAGAGGGAGAAGCATGGTCTCTGCTGAGCAGAAAGCCCAGACACGGGGCTCAATCCCAGGATGCTGGGATCATGACCTGAGCTGAAGGAAGATGCTCAACGGATTGAGCCACCCAGGCGTCCCTGTACTGGTAATTTATTTATTTATTTATTTTTTATTTTTAAAGATTTTATTTATTTATTTGAGAGCGAGAGAGAGAGAATGAGAGACAGAGAGCACAAGAGGAAAGAGGGTCAGAGGGAGAAGCAGACCCCCCGCCGAGCCGGGAGCCTGACGTGGGACTCGATGCCGGGACTCGGGGATCATGACCTGAGCCAAAGGCAGGCGCTTAACCAACTGAGCCACCCAGGCGCCCCTGTACTGGCAATTTAGACTTCGCGGATGGGGCAAGCGCCAGGAGAATATGGGCGGGACACTCATGGCATGTTCTGTCTTCCCTGCTTTCTTTCTTAGGAAACGACTGGAGGATGCACTCCATCAAAACAATGGAGTGAATCCAGAAAGAGGAAGAGGTGGAATTCAGGAACCAGAATATTTGACCTAAGAGATGAAGGGAGTCCCCAGGATGTGGCGACAGGGTGGAGTGGGGAACTGCCCGGTTATTTTTTTTTTTTTTAAGATTTTATTTATTTGTTTGAGAGAGAGAGAGAATGAGAGATAGAAAGCACGAGAGGGAAGAGGGTCAGAGGGAGAAGCAGACTCCCTGCCGAGCAGGGAGCCCGATGTGGGACTCGATCCCGGGACTCCAGGATCATGACCTGAGCCGAAGGCAGTCGCTTAACCAACTGAGCCACCCAGGCGCCCGAACTGCCCAGTTATTAACATAGAACTATTCGATTCTTTCAACTATGTGCATGTTTATTTTCAATATAAATTAAAATCAGTAATTTGTCTTTTTTCTTCTGCTGCCTGAGAAAGGGAGGAGGGAGGATACAGAATGTAGATCCTTCCTAGCTGATAAGAAGCTGGGAAGGTAAAGCGAAACTCTTTTGTTCCTTGGGTCCGTCAATCCAGCAGGGCCATTCTCTTTCCATCTCCCTTTGAGGCAGGAAGAAAAATTCTGAGCAACTGGGAAATTAAGACTTAAAATATTGAAAAGAGCTGTTGGTGCCAAACTGACCTAAAATCTGGGGCTGCCCTAGGAGGGTTCTGACCCAAGGAAGCGATCCAAGGTAAACGCAAAGAAAGGATTCTGTCAAATTAAAAACCAAAACCCGGATTACATTAAGGGGACCATGAATCGCACTAAAGTGTTATTGGAATAAATTCTTAATTGTGTCTGGATATGAATTTCTTGATGTTTTACTTTAAATGCCTATTGCCTTAAAATCCAGATTTTAAAAATATGACTATTTTAATATATACTTTTAATTTTAAAAACACCATGGAAATGTACAGAGTTCTTGGCTAATCCCATCTCTGATTGAAATTGCACTGTTTTAGGTCCGTGGCCCCATCAAGACACCAGAGTCGACCACTTTCTGATCGCAGGCAAGACAGCCGCGGGAATGTGGCCTCTGAAAACTGACTGAGGCCTCCTTTCTCTTCCTGTCTCAGAGGTCTGTCCACCGGATCCCTCTCCTCGGCCGAGAAAAATGCTCAAAAATGTCCCCATCTAAAAGAAAAATAAACAAAGCCATTCTCCTTCTAGCCATCACCCCCATTTTCTCTTCCCCGTCATCATAATGCTTCTGAAAAGAACACATGCTAACTTCCTCCTCTTCCTTTACTTCCTCCCCACACGCTGCTTCTTGACCCCGTGCGAGCTAGCTTTCCCCCTGACCGGCACAGAGGCCTCCGAGGACTTGGCTGTCAGATCCTTCGGTCCTGTTTAGACCTCATCCCCCTCTCTGAACTCCCCTTCCCCACCTCGGCCCTGTCACGCTTCTTTCCTGGTGTTCCTACCCCCCCCACCCTCTCTCCGACTGCCCTCTCCCCCGGGACCCCCTCAGCAGGACAGGCATCCCCAGAGATGCCCTGACTCCCCTACACGCCCCGGCATCTGCCCAGGTCCCCAGCCTCACCTGTGGCCTGTCCTGCTTGCTCACCCCACTCCCATGACACTCAGGATCCACCGGGTTCCTCTAAGACACCCAGCTCTTGTGGCCTTCGGGCCCATCCCTCTACCTGGGCCCCTCTTCCCCGCCCCACACCCCCGCCCTCCATCCGGCTGTTTCCAACTTGACCTTCAGGTCTCAGCCCGCTGTCAGTTCCTCAGAGTGCAGCGCCTCCCTTCCCATCCCCACCAAACTAAATCCCTTTCCCCACGCTTCTCTCTCAGAAATCATTTTTTTCCCCCTAAACTAAATCATTTATTTAGTTGCTAACGATAGGCTTCAGGGGGTGTGTTTCTTTCCTTAAGTATCTACCTTTCAATCCAGGACGGAAGGTGCGCGAGGATGGGAGCACGTCAGCTCTGTTTCCCACTGTGTCCTTAGCGGCAAGGCAGCCCCGGGGACAGCAGATGGGGAGTGTCTGTGGTGAGCGGGAGTGAAGTGCTTTCGTCATGCCCGGTACCACAGCAAGCCCTTCACACGTAACACCTCGCTTTTATTCTCACGGGCAACCCTATGGGTAGGTACTCTAACTGGGTCCATCTTGGGCCAAGGAAACTGCAACTTAGAGAGACCGAGTAATAATGCCCGAGATCTTACAGAAACAAGGGCAGTCAGAGCTGGAATTTGAAAATATGTTTCGCCGAGTCTGTGTGGGACTTCCTGAGGACCACAGTGCGGTGCTTCCTGGCTGACAGATCGTCTACACTCACCTTCCCGGACTTCCCGCACACCGTTCCCTCTTGTCTGCGTCTCTGCGGCTTTCCCAGGTAGGGAGAGGGTACTGGGCGGGGAGCTGGCTTGGAGGGGCTGGGAGGTCCTTGGCCACCCTCCTCTTCTAGTACCCGTTTCTGGGAAGTACTCAGAAAACCCGCGAGGTAGGCAAACCATGATGACGTTCAACGCTCTCATAACTCTCCTGCCCTTTCTATATGTTCTTTCTGTTTCCTGCCTCCCCCCGCCCCCGCCATGGCTTTGGGTTGCTCCCCAGGGTGATGCCCCACTCAGGCCTTCCACCCTGCCCACATATGCCCTGGGCAACTTTCAGTCCCTTTCCCTGACAAAAATGTACCTGTCTCAGGATATGATCACAATAGAACAGTAAGTGGAAAAAAATAGAGATGAAATATTGGGTAAATAGTTGTTATGGGTTGAGCTGTGTTCAACCCACCTCAACTGATATGTTGGAGTCCTAACCCCAGACCCCAGAATGCAACCTCATTTAGAAATCGGATCACTGTAAATGTAATCATACAAGTGAAGATGAGGTCATGGTGGAGTCGGGGGGGTCCCTAATCCAATACAACTGTTGTCCTTATAGAAATACTGTCATGTGGAGAGCCAGGCATGCGTGCAGACAGAAGAGAGGGTGAAGGTGAAGGCAGAGATGGCCCCGATGCCGCAGAAGCCAAGGAATAGCAATGATGGCCAGGAAAACCACCCGAAGCTAGGGGAGGGGCCTGGAACACATTCTCCCTCACAGCCCTCGGGAGAACCAATCCAGCAGACACCTTGATCTCAGACTTGCAGCTGCCAGAACTGGAGAGAATCGATTTCCGTTGTTTAAGCCCTCAGTTTGTGGTACATTATTGTGTTGTGGCAGCCCTAGCAAACTAATGAAAGTAGTATCATCCCAATTTTGTAAAACAAAACAAACCCCAGATATGTCATGGATTATTCTCTCTCTCGCTCTCACGTGCGTGCACTCACACACACACGCACACACACACACACACACACACGGTGAAGAAACTATATAAAGAAGTGAACAGTGGCTCTATGGGGAGGGTGGGTGTTGGGTAATTTTGCTTTGTGCCTTTCTCTGCACCTTTGGGTTTTTCCTCAGTTCCCTTACATCCCTACAATATTATATATTATTACATACACACATCTCTGGGCTTCAGTTTCCTTATCTGTAATTTGAGAATAGCCATACCAGGGGCGCCTGGGTGGCTCAGTTGTTAAGCGTCTGCCTTCGGCTCGCGTCGTGATCCCGGGGTCCTGGGATCGAGCCCTGCATCGGGCTCCCTGCTCAGCGGGGAGCCTGCTTCTCCCTCTCCCACTTCCCTTGCTTGTGTTCCTGCTCTCACTCTCTCTCTGTCAAATAAAAAAAAGAGAGAGAGAGAGAATAGCCATACCAGTCACCCAGCATTGTCGTGAGGCATAAGGTGCCCGACGTGCCCAGCTGCTGGTCAGTTGGTGTCCGTAGAGGAGGGAGAGCAGCTCCAAAGAGGTAAAGCGGGGCGTAATGGCGGTGTTCTCCTACCTCTCATTAGGGGAGGGCTCCGTTCTTACGAGAAGGCTTCGCCATGGCTGCTAAGCAGGGCACGTGGACGCGGCTTGGCACTGGTCTCTGTATGTGGCCGGGGTGGATGTGGAGAGTGAGTTGGCACAGGAGAGCTGGCTGGACACCTTGGATTTGGGAGGGTCAGCGGAGGAAAGCAAGAGAGGTTGGAAGGTTGATTGGGGAAAGATTTGTTAAATGAGGACAGCTTAATCTGTCTGGGGTAACATTTCTTAGTTTGGGGTGGGGAAGGTCTGATGGGGCAACTGAAAAGGAAAGAGGAACCATGAGAAAGTAGAAAACACAGCCAGGAAGCCAAACAATTCCCTCCAGTAGGAATAAAGAATGCCCTGCCTCCTCATTTCTCCAATGAAAACCCTCCGGGAATGGAGTGGGTAATGTAACTTACTTACTATAACTTTCCACGGCCCATGGGAACATGTTCTTTCCCGAGGAGCGGTGTTCCCCAAACATCCCTCTTTCTGGCCATATCTGTGATAAGGTGTCCTTTTCTGGAGACTGTCTAGGCAGGTGTTCCCAAAACATTTAGCCTTGCCTCTGACTTGTCTCAACAGGAGGGTTGTCTTGAATCTTGAATCTGGCCATTTGTGACTTCAAATTAATCCTTCATCTCCAAAAATTCTGGGCTGCTTTGCTGCTTTGTGGTTGGCTATGCCTTCTCTATTCCCATTTTAAACCTCAGCAACTTGGGGAAGAATTCTTTCCCCACAACCAATATTCACAATCCATTCCTTTAGGGGAGGTCACGGATAGCTTTTGGCTCTCTCCCCTTGCCCAAATCTACACGTTTCCTTTCATTTTATATCTGCTAGTTATGTAGCAACATTTAATATAATATTAGATAGTGAAACGAAGAGAACACAAGAATTTTATGTAAATTATGATTCTGGCTATGTAAAAACAAACAGAAAATACACATACACACATATAAAAAAATGGAAGAAAAAAACCCCAAGTAATTAATAAATTAATAATGGTTATGTTACGAGTACCAGGATTTTGGATTTTTTTCTTATTCTTTATTTCCCTAAACATTTTCATGAAATGGAAAACTGCTTTTATAATTAAGAAAGAGACTTACTAAAATAAGGTAAGAGGCAGAATGAGTAACAAAGTATGATAAAATAAATAAAACAAGTAATCTAGTTGTAGATAAGATTTCCTGGAAGTAAATATACATAGCTCTTAGCCCAACGTGTGTTAACTGATGGAGAAATATGACCACAGAACACTCATGGAAGACGTTTAGCCACGTCACCCTTGTCTACTCGGAGAATGACTGAAAGGAAGAACAGCATGAGACTTCAAACCTGTTGGGCCTTTGAGGAGACCTGGGGGAGGGGCTAGGAGTCCAGGCACATTAGAGGTTTGGGAGCTGTAGGGAGACTGTAGACTTTACAAAACGTGGGGGTTTCCGGGAAGTGCTTCAAGCATGACATAGCGAGGCTCTGATACTGTTTATTTTTAGAAGTCCTGTTGAGAGGAGTATCTTTCACCTCTCACTAGATTAACTATGCTCCTTGGAACCATGGACATCTTTCTGCTGCAGCAGCAATAGGATCAAAGCACGTGTTTAGAAAGAGAAGTGAAAAACACCAGATGTGAGCAAAACCACAAGGGGAATTTCAGACAGGCTGCATGCACCGGATTACCCAATTTGGAATGTGGCCCAGGTCCCAGGACAGGCAGACCCTCTAAGGATCAGGCTGGAGAGACAGAGGTTATTGATCCTGATTTAAGCCAAATGCCGTTAACCTGACCTGTGACCTCGCTCAAGCCAATGACTTCCTCCAAACCACTTTCACCGTCTGTAAACTGGAAGGAGTTGCTCATTTCCTCTCAGGAATAGCTAATGGAAACCATGCTAACAACTAGAGGTAAGAATGAGGCATGGTCTTGAAGACTGATGGTAAATGACATAGGAGTACATAAATACCACACCATATACACACTTAGAGTGTGTAGATACAAATATTTTGTGGGAAGGATACGTGTAAAAAAAAAAAACCCCACGGGATTAAAGATTGTGTCACACCAGTTCACAGACTAAATAATTGGAGGGGGTGTGACAGGATATACATTTTTTCCCTCACCCATAGCTCTTTAGGTCCGGTGGTTCATGTTTGCTCTTATTATGGCCCCAAACCTTTAGTATGGACCTAAAATCTCTCTGCATTCCTCCATTTTGTCTCAGTTTTCTCATCCAAATGTTTCTCACATTGTTGCTCCATTCAAGAATATTTCCTGTCTGTCTTGTTCATCTACGTAGTTCACTCCTCCTACTGGGCTTTAAACCAGCCTTACTCACCCCCCACAAACGCCATTAATTTATTCCTATCCCTGCCAACTTTGAGTCAATCTCTAAGTTGACCCCCCAGCCAGAAACCTATGAAGCATCACTAAGTCCTCTGTTCTCCCCCTCTTGGGCTTCTTACATAACCAGATGCTCTCTTAACCAGGGGAGGGGCCCCACTAAAGATTAAAAAGCATGCTGGATTAAAAAGCAGATGAAGTTGTCAGCCATGGCAGTCATAGTGTAGAACAGGGAATCACCTTGGAATCACTGAGCATGGCCGTCTTCAGGAGTCATGGGCATAGTGAAACCACCCGCCCCCCCCCCCGCCCCCCACTGACCCTTTGGTGAGAAGTTGTCCCTGGAGAGGAGGAGGGACACGGTAGTGGGTCCAAGAGGCAGACACTGGAATTCATCCTAGTGCTCATGTACTCGGGAAGTGGCTGCATATGGGAAAAAGAACAAATAACCTGACTAGCGAGGGTTCTGATATTTTGGGCCATTGGAAGCTGATGGGGCACTGCTGAGCCGAGTGTTGTGTGGGGGAGTCACTTTTGCTAAAGTGCCAAAGCGAATGGACTCTACTTTGGCCCGCATGGAGCAGCAGAGAGAGGACCCAGCCACCACGGCCCCTCCCTAGACAACTTTGTCACCAGCTCTAGCGTCATTCCTTCCCATGAGTCTCCTTGCCTCCCATTACTACCAAGTTTGATTGTGTGATCCCTGTTATTGTTCTTATCACTCGCAACTTCAAATCAGCCTCTTTTTCATCCCTCCACCATATCGTTTTCTGGGATGTTTTTACTACATGGTCACAGGGGTCCCTAAAGTTGATTCGATTCCAGAGAAATGTTTGAGCCCCTACTCCATAAGCCTAGATCCTAGGGAACACAAAGATGAGTAAAACACGGTTACTGCTCTCAAGGAGCTGATATCACATGATTTGGGTGGCTTTGCTAACTAACATTTAATCCAGTGATGGCCTGGGTTCCTGTAATTATCTTCCATATTGGCCTGCCTTGTCCCGTTCATTTATTTATCCATTTTTTTAAAGATTTTTATTTATTTATTTGACAGAGAAAGACACAGCGAGAGAGGGAACAGAAGCAAGGGGAGTGGGGGAGGGAGGAGCAGGCTCCCCGCGGAGCAGGGAGCCCGATGCGGGGCTCGATCCCAGGACCCTGGGACCATGACCTGGGCCGAAGGCAGACGCTTAATGGACTGAGCCACCCAGGTGCCCCGCATTCATTTATTTAACACATATTTATCGAGCACTGACCATGCCCTAGGCACCGGGCTAGCCTTAGGATGCAACAATAAATAAAACAAACGTCATTCTTATCTTTGAGAGCATAACTACAATGTAAAAGGACCAGAGGCTCAATGATATACATGTCTGACTACAAAAGGAATAGGTAAAACTTCATGTTCCTGTCTCTCCTACCAGAGACTGGGGTGCATGCCACCGTAATCCCTCTCCCAGCCGTGATACAGTGAACTTACAGGTGAGGCACGTTAGGTTCTTATTTGAGTCAGACTCCAGGGGCACCTCAGGGGAACAGGAGGCAGAGGGACCAATCTCCACGACAATAATGAGTAGCTGGTTACCCCACGCCCTTGGCTCCTTCCTCTCCAATATTCTCATCGTCTCTCTTCTCAGCAAGCAAGTACCTCTCATACTGCTTCCTGAGTCTATATGGGTTAGAATCTTTCAAATATGTAAAGTGAAATATCTTTGCTTTGTGGATGAACAGTCTTCAGTAATTGTAGGTAAAGTCAATTATGTAAACATTAAGTTTCCAAGGAAGGGTAAGTGGAGGGCCTCCAAGGAAATGTTTTTCTTATTGGAAGAGGCATGTAAGATGGAGGCAAGTATCAGATTTCTCCTGATGGCAATAAAACTACTTCTTAGAATGTCAGGAGGGCTAGCTAATGTAACGGTGACCAAATAAGGGATGTAGTGAATCTCCTCAGGGCCTCTGACTCCTCAGAATGAGACCCCAAGAAATGACTCACTGTAACAAACTTGGCCAACTATTGATTAACTGTGCTTCCAGAAGAGTATAATATTAGAATAAAAAGGAGCATTATAGACTGTATTGGATTACCAGTACAAGCATAAAGTTTGGAATCAGATGGTCCTAGGTGTTCAAATTTCAGCTCAGGTTCCTCTTTGCCACCTGAGCCTAGGGCAATTTATTTAGCTTTTAGCTTCCCGGTCCCTTTATTTTCTCATTTTCATAACACAGATAAAAATTCCTATTGAGTAGAGTTTTTTTTTTTTTTAAAGGACTAAATAAAGTGACATAATCGAATAATCAAAGGCCCTTGGCACAGAGTGGGCACTCTGTAAATGCTCCTTTCTTCTTTTCATTTTACAGATTAAAAACCAAAGGCTGAAGCGCTGACCTAAGTTGCCTGAGGGCCCACGATTGACCAGTGCCATACCTGGACGAAAGTCCCTGGCTTCCTGACTTCTCACCTAGCTGTCTTTCGATTGTTTTCATAGTGGGAGTTGAGCAAAGATAATTGAAAACACATTTATCTCTGGTTTCCTAAAGCTGGAGGGGGATGAAATTTTTAAAAAGAAGGCGGGGTGAGAGATGTAAAAAGCCGATTTACTTCGCTGAGCTTACATTGCTTGAGCACACACCCCACGTGGTGAAGGGAAGTGGCAGAGCATAGCCAACGTGGGGTTAAAGATTGTGTTACATTAATCCACAAAGTAAATAATCCACATGTCCTCAAGGGAGGGGTGTGTATGACAGAGTGTCTTTTTTCCCCTCACCCACATAACGCTTTGCGTCTCCTTCAGGCCACCTTAGATCTAGACTAGTTTTCAGAAGGTCCTATGTAAACCTTTTCTTCAGGGTTCTGAGCTTGCTAATGTGTGGATTTGGCAAAGAAGTGCAAATTATAGTAGTTATGCATGAAAAATCATTGGTAACCTGCAAATTATGTCAGTGTGGGATTGGCACTCCACGTGCTTGAACAGAAAGAGCCTTGGGCCAAGGATGGGACGCCTGGGTCCTCTGGCACTACCACTAACTAGTTAGGGGGACCCAGAGGAGGAAGCTAACTTCTCTGGGCATCCGTGCTGTCACCTGTAAAATGCCATCAAGTGCCGAAAGCAAAACAATGACCACATTTCATTTTCCTTTGTCCTTACAAGAATGCCACGAGGTAGCTAGTATTCTATCCATATCAGAGGTGAACAAAGACAGGCGTAGAGGTATTGCGATTTGCCCAGTTATCATTCAGCTAGTGAGTGGCAGAATCCGATAAGAGTTGGAGATTGAACCCAGAACGTGCTCTTAACCTCCAAGACAGACTACCCGTATGGGGAAGGGGAAATGGGTATTAAAAGCTCACGGCACTTTCATGAAGTTGAAACAAATGTTTATTACAATCATTTACAGGGGACATAATCCCTGCTGCGGTGCCTGTATTCAAGTCATTTTCAGCTCATTGACTTTCTTGTTCATTGCTTCTCATCTGATCTGAGAGCATCAAACCACACTTATCCTCTTTCACCTCATTTGTTTTGGTGTCAGGTCTCCTTCCACACTGGCTGCACTGAGGGGGAAGCCAGCACCCCTTCTTGCCAAGTGGGGGAGTGTAAGTGTCAGAAGCCACCCTCACACTCTCACAAGCATGTACACAAAGACCCACACACATAAACACACACACAGGCACGCACACGTACAGAGTCATGTTAGTGTGTTATCCACATGTTAGTGTGTTATCCTGGTTTCAGAAACGGACGGTTTAGGACTCCGTCATTACGATGTCAGTGCATACACCGGGAATAGAGAATTTCCCAGAGTTGAGGTTTGGAGTGGGAAAATGCCGGGATAAAGTGATAGAAAGTGGAGACACGTGTACTAAGGAGAATCTCCAGGGACTCAAACCCATTGGTTTCAGTGCCAACCCTGGATTCTGCAATAAGCTTATAAATTTCTCCCGGACATTCAGGCCCTTGGAAGACCTTACCCTTGGTGGGCGGTAAGTTTGACACAATGTCAGTGTCTCTTACACGAACTGATTGTGAGCTTTCACTCAGGTAGCTGTGTATTGTGCTCCAGGCAGTGGTGGTCATCAGACTGTAAACTTGGGAGCTCAGGGTCACTTCTATGGAATTCTCCCTTCAGAGGTTTGGCATTACATGCACTTAGATATTTCGTGATGACAAGGCTTCATTCTGGCCACTGCTTTTTGTTTGGTTTGCTCAGGAGACAGGTACAAATGAATTTATTTATTTATTTCATATGCACTTATTGAACACCGTGGTGATACTATTTCATTTTTGCATTAACCCTTCATGGTTACAGAGCACATTCACGATCAGGATCACACTCAGACTTCCCAAGAATCCTTTGGGATAAAAATATTACCTACCTCATGATGTTTGTGAGGGTTAAATGCAACCGACTGCAAAAAGCACTTAGCACCGGAGGCTGGCACAGAGTAAACGTTATTAAATGTTACTATTAGCATCCCTACAGACACGGTTAAGTAGTACTGGCCCATGTTACTGATGAGGAACCACAGCTCAGGAAAGCTAAGGCACTTGCTCAGATTAAGTAGGTAGAGTTAAGTGGTAGAATTCAGTTAAAAATCGAAATCTCCAAGCTCTAAGGCCATTTTAGGAAATTATCGGTTGAGATTGCAGTCATGGAAGGAAGAAAGCAGAGCCTCAAAGAGCTTACATGACAGGTTTTATGGTTGGTGAGTAGGCAGAAGTGTTTAGGGAGAAAACACTGCTTAAGGGGGAGGGGGAGGCCCAAGTCACAGACCACAAGCAGCTGTACGATTCATTTTTGCTTCCACAAATGCTGTCTTCTCTCAGGGCCCTCATCACATGCATGGTCCTCCTTCCCACTGCCCTTCCCCTCTTCTCAACGCTTCACCTGAACAATGCTCACGTGTCCAAGCTCGACCCAAACATCTCTTCAAGGAGGCTTTCTTGAGCCTGGTCTAGGTTTGTACCTACTGATACAGGCCCCCACAGCCCCCCCCCCCCCACCTTCTTTTAGGAATACTTGTCTAATATCTAGAATGTAAGCAACGAGAAGTCATCAACTTTATCTTCTGATGTATCCTCAGCATCTTTATGGTGTCTGGCCCGTTTGTTAAGTGCAGACCAGGTGCTGGCCAACATTAAGATACAGAAGAAGAAGACTAAGAAAAAAGTGGGAAAACATGAACATGAGCTTAAAATGCTTTTCCATCCTCGCCACAGAATCAGGCTGAGGGGTGGTTCTTGGGAGGAGCCAGGAAATGTAGAGCAGACAACTGGAGGGAATTAAGAAGAAAGACTCCAACACACAAGAAAGGCATGGAGCCGCATATCACTGTGAAGAGTAACCCACGCAGGTGTTCATGCCGTGGAGCCCAGTGCTAGGCCGAGCCTTCCCCTGACCGAGGACAGGGGGCTGACAAGGGGTTTCTCCCAAACCGCCTCCGATCCTGCCTCTAGAGAGAGCTCAGGAATCCCCGCTCTTCACCGACGCCTCACCAGGGAGCAGTCTAGGGAGGGCAGTGATAAACCTGCAGCGCGCAACAGGGAGGGAAGGAGGGCTTGCACCGGGTGGATACATTTCCGACTTGGTCGTGTTGACAGCGAAAAGCGGCGGCGGCGGGACTTTCGGCAGGAAGTGTCCCGCTCTGGGGGCGTCTAATCACGCCGGCAGGTAGAGCCCGCCCGCCAGCCCGGGGCCCGGGGCCCGGGGCGCCCTCGGCCGCCGCGTTTGGACGAGCTCCCGCGCCTCCTCCTGGGCGAGGGCAGCGCCGGAGGGAGGACGCGGGGCCGCAGCTTCAGCAAGGGCCATGTTGTTTACGTTCCCACCCCGCAGCCCTGGGAAGCCCCGAGTTCCCACACTCATGGAGGCGGGAAGGTCGCTGCGGACACCTCATCTGTCTGGGTCGCTGACGAACTGCAGATAGGCAGCAGCCGCCGCCTCCATGTTGGGGTCACCTCGCCCGGCCGCCCACCCCGGAACCAGGCGGGAGGAGAGCCCTGCGCGCCGCCCGCCCGGGGCCTGCGGGGCCGGCTGCTGCGGGGGAGCCCCCAGCCCCCCGCCCGCCAGACTCGCTGGGGCAGAGCCGCTGGACACGACCGAGGAGAGAAGAGGGCGCGGACGTGCCTGCCCACAGCACCGAGCAGCCGGGAGCCATTGGCCCCCTGCCGTTTGTCGAGCGCTCCTAGCTTTGCAGGGCTCTGCGGCTGCGTCTGTTTTCTCGCGTCGCTCTGACCACCACCCGTGAAGAACGCGGAGCAGGTGTTTTTGTGTCCATTTTGCAGATGAGTAAACAGCCTCAGGATGTTCGACAGACTTGCCCAAGTTCTCACAGCTAGTCAGTGGTAAAGGCCGTTTTCCCACCTCCTGTGCAGTGGTCTTTCTGTTACTCCACGCGAACACGAGCAGCCAGGCGGACAAGTTCCAATTTTTATCCCTGGAAGAGAGCTCTTCGTCCCAGGTTTAACCTGGCTTTAATCCGTCTTCCGCTCAGGCCGGGGTGCAGTGAGAAACGCTTCGGTCTTGGGAGTTCTGAACCTTGATTCCTCTTCCTTGCCAGCCACGTGCCTTAGGAGCTGTGTGATTTTGAACTTGATTTCCCTGAATCCTCGCTTCCACACGCATAAAATGGCGATGAAGTTGTCTAAGTTGTAGAGCTGAGAATAACAGTAAACACCAACTGACTGTTTTCTGTACCCTAGGCTCAGTTCTAAGCACCTTATGTGCATTGGCTTATTGAATTCTCAAACGACCCTATGTTATTTCACATATGCGATGTTATTTCATTTTATAGATAAGGACTCAATGGCAGAGAAGTAAAGAAACCTACCCTGGGTCACACTGCAAACAAATAGCGGAGCCAGGATTCCAACCCAGGCTGTCCGGTGCCAGAGCCAAGTGCTTAATCTCCACGTTAGACTGACCATGCCAATTGTATTTACCATCTATGGTAGGTACACAATCAATAGCTGTTACTAGGAATTAGGGCAGAATTGGCTTGATTTATAAGCAAAGCATAGTGCTAACTACCTGAACGAATTAGGTAAATCAAAAGGCCTCTCCACTTAAAAATATCTTCAGTTTAGTCTGCCACTAAAGTCCCACCAGTCTTCAGTCTAGTCCCACCACTAGAGTCTCCCTTTATGGCAGGAAGACACCTCAGGGACGTTTTGGCGATGTCGGGAGACATTTTTGGTTGTCATAACTGTGGGACTGCTGCTGGCATCTCATGGGTAAGGCGAGGGATGCGGCTGAACATCCTACAATGCACAGGACGGTCCCTACAACAAAGAATGGTCTGTTCCAAAATGTCAATATGCTGAGCTTTAGAAACTGCTTTATTATTGACTAAAGTAGTCTTGAAGGACCCTGTTAATACACGCATTTGTCACATAGAATAGCAAAATAATGCTCTGTTTAACATCTTATTGATACGATGACAGAGTCCAGAATATGCAGTCATTTGTTATTACCTGTTACCGTTACTGTTGTTGTTGCCAAGCAAAGCAGATGTGCCCTAGAAATAGGCTGATTTGGGCCTTGTGGTAGAGTTAGAAAATTGAAGTTTTTTTTCTGTCAAGCGATGTCACCAACCCCCAAATGCTGACGTTTCTTCCAATATGTTGAAGTAGGTCATAAATAAGTTCACAACAATGCCATTTCCTTTCGGCATGCAACTCTATTAATTCCTGCTATCTCTTGGTTCAGTCA